ATATTTTGGACCCGTGTTAGAAAGATACACATGCATCCATAAATATTATGTTCTTACAAACACCTTTCCACATGTCAAAATAATAATATGTAACTCCTATCCCATCTCTTTTGGTTATGCGTTAATTTCTGCATTCGTAGTTATAAATACTTATATTTTTTTATCCGTTCGGGTTCAGTCGAATCCATTTGGAGTTAGGCATATTTTGATATCCCAAGTCTTGAGATCTGGTCGTCCGATGTTTTACTCATGATTATTTTCTTTTATTTTAATATTTTGTATATCTGTACATATTAAAGTTCTTATATCAAAATTCACTACGCCTTATCGTTCGTCCTTGAATTGTGGATCAGTATTCGTGTTGAAATCGAAGTGAACCTGGGAAAAGATTATTGATCAATTATCCTAATCGAACAGTGTTCTTTATAATATTTTTTTTGTTTACTAATTGTCCATTGTCATGATCTGGGAGAGATAACCAGTATCTCTCCACAGGTGTGATAATGTATATATCTTCTGGTCGACGTATGATCGCCTTATAAACCCATTCGTCGACTAGGGCATATGACAATAACATTTCTTGATCTGGAGAGAGAATTTTTAAATCTTTTGAAAAAGATACAATGAAAGAATATAATATTACTTTCTGCATTCTTCAGCTCTTTTCATTCAGGACTTAGGAAGTCATTGCCATATACGGTTTCCCTCCTTCTAATATCTGTCGGTTGTCATAAAACAAAAATATGATATTCTGGTTGACTTCTTTACAGTTTCAACTTAAAAAAAAATAAAATGTTCCTTCTCCAAGGGTGACTGCCAACCAACAGATAAAACTCGGAGTTTTCCGTGCTACTTGACCCATAGTTGGTAGGAGAAGAGATAAATGTATATGTCTTTCACAATGGCATTAGTGCTAGATGAATATGGAAGACATCGTTAAAACCTTTTCTCTTCCTGCCGCTGGCTGGTAATCATGAAGATATTACAAATTTCAGAACATGTTTAATGTTAAAATATAGATGCGGGCTTACGGCCATATCACATTGACACACTCGTTCGCGTACGATCACCGAAGTTAACCGTTATCCTTTTGCATTATTAATATTACTTTCCCTTCCACCGCATATTTTTTTCAAAACCTCTCAATTGCAACATCCTTATTTCTAATTTCCCTCAAAGATTTTTTTTGTTGCCATAGCAGGTTATGACAACACAAGTATTAAATTCAAATACAATTGCTCAGGGATCAGAGTAACCTTCAATGAATGGCCAGATAAGCATTTTGTACAGGAAATGAAGCGGTTTGAAGTGGTAACATTCACATTCTTTCTATCTCTAATGTTGAGCACGTTAACCCATAAATATAGCATAATTTAAAACTATATATACTGATGAGCTGTGATACAGAGAAACAGTCTGCCTATGGAGGCGATATTAGCTCTCGATAAAAGAATTTAATTGGTCGAGCACTGTGGCGAGTAACGAATTTGTAAACGGTCACTATACCGATTTAGTTCTCTGAGTGACGTCCGTTTATGAAATTAAATACGTAAAAATTCGTTTTTTTCTCTGCCTAGGGGTTATATTCTCCGACTGATACATAATCGATCGGGTTTCCGTCCCGGCCTGAAGCGATCGAATGTACACCGAAACTGTCTGTCTATGGATGACTATATATATATATATATATATATATATATATATATATATATATATATATATATATATATATATATATATGTGTGTGTGTGTGTAATTAGGCAGCATTTTTTCATTCATACATGTTTCATTAAATAATATAGACAAGAGTTGTCAATTTATTTTATGTAAATTCTTTTCATAACGTCTGATGAGCTTAATAACATTATCATTAAACGAAGAAAGAAAATCACAATATTGATCCATATTTTTTAATCCAATCTAAGCTTTCGGCTTCCATAAGCCATTATCAAAGATGACAATTACTGTACAATATATTAAGCAATACACGGACAAGAATGTGATGATAGTCTCTTTCAGTTTACATGGATGATTTCGAAGCAACGATAATCCCGTGCATATAAGACGCTGGAAGCGAAAATCGGATTAAAATGGGATTAAAATCTAGAACATTTGCCAGTATGATGTTTTACTAAGCGTGGCTTAGTCGTGGTACAAGCGAGAAAGTATGGAGTACCCAGTTAGGATTGAACTCAATACAGAGTTTTATTTGATCGAACGAGACAAGCTTGATAACCATTGCACCCCGTCGATGTGCTTCCAAAATTATTTTCTAACCGTAACTTAGATGTAACACAAGATCGATAGTGTGAAGCAACCAGTGTGGATCAAACTCACTATCGACTAAGCAGCCAGTGACGCTTGAAATTTATAAAATACGATCTTAAACAATTTTTCAGGAAAATAGATTTCGCCTTACAATTAATTGTCATTTCTCTTTATATTATTGACTAGCAGCATGGCCCGGTATTGCCCGTGCTTGATTCAAAAATCGTACAACTCATACAGCAATCGCTATCACTTGACCTAAAATATTTTTGCCCTTCCTTGCCTTTAAAGGAGTGCCCTTTGCCGTGCTGATGTTGCTACATGCCTTACTTCTTGTCTATCTCACACTGCGAATTTTTTCTAAACACTATACTAAACATTAAATCTGTTACGGAAAAAGAACTAAACAAAATGAACACAAAACAATCAGCTTTAAAAAAGGACTCATAACTATATTTATTCGTTTAAGAAATCAGTTTGTAAATCAGGTCTCATTGAGAGTTTAACTATTTCTCCATAGATTTGAACCAAACAGGTGCTAACAGCCCCGGTCAGAGTGGAACTGGGAACAACAGCAATTAAGAGGCGGTTCCACGCACCCAAAAATTTCCCGATCAGAAGCCTTGCTGCAGGATATAGTTTATCGTTATACCCAGGACATGATGCAGTGTAGAAGGCTACCATTATGATTATGATATTATTTTCTCTTTTAGTTACATGAAATATTAATTTTAATTCTTCCTGTTGCTGAGAGTCTTCAAATGTGGATTCAGTCATTTGATAGAATTCTTTGTTTTTGATTCGGTACCGGCACTTCAGAAAGTTTGAAGAGTGATGAACCACGCTAAGATCTGCAAGACCCATACACTCAAAGCCGTCGATAACCATAAATCTGAGAAAGTGGTTGGATACAGCTATGTGTGTATGTATGTATGCATCTATGTATGTACGTATGCATCTATGTATGTATGTATGCATCTATGTATGTATGTATCGTATCAATAAAATTGTACAAAAATAATTGATCTAATACAGTTATTCGAAAAGTATTAATTCGAATTGTAAATTGTTTGAATGAAATTTAATCGAAAGAACAATTATACTAAATGATAATTATACGAAATCTGTATGTTTTAAATATGTCTGTGGTCTTGCTTTGAGCTGATTTACCTAGAAATAATAACACCCTAGAGAGATGGCATTGGGCTATTTTACAATAAATGTCATTGTATAATCCCACAATCTGGAAATTTTTAGACACTCTTCCAAAAGAACAGGACTTACAAGAGATTCCTATCGCAAAAGTAAGAGCAGGTTGCCAAAATATCAAGAGCCCCAAGAAATACTCCCACGTAAATGGAAAACAAAAATTAACGAGTTGTTTTCAGTAGTTGACTATTTGCATGCAGTATAGTATAACTTTCTTACTAAATTGTTTTATTAACGATAATTATATTTCGATTAATTACCATTTGTGTATTTCCTATTTTAATTATTTACATTTTTACTTCAATAAAAATCTTGCATTTCGAATAATTATTTTCGAACAGTGTTCACATAATCGTATATATATATACATGTGTACGTATCTGTTTATGTCCTCGCATGTGTCTGTATTTACAAATAAGACAAAAGCGAAAGAAAACTACTTAACGTTTTCTCGTCAAACGGAAATCAGAGACAATCCCTTAATGAGAATATAAAACGTTATAATACTTTAATAAAACGTTGCATCCATGGAGTCGTTGTTTTACGTACTGGAGTCATTAACGTCTTCTGGATTTGAAAATGTAACCCACTCCGAACAGATCTAATGTTTAGTGCATTAATAAACATATTATCAGCAGTAGCTCTGAGGATATAAAAACAGGTGAACCCTTAAGTGACTCTTTTTTTCTGTTTTTCCGCTTTGCAATGTGTGTGCAACCAACTTTACACACCAAGACAAAAAAGGGCTGTTGACGTTTCACACACAGTCAAAGTCACACCCAAATACATAAACAATTTTTTTCTAAGTAAAACTCTCTTAAATTTTCCTTTGTTATTTTTGTTAAATGTTATCTTGTATTGTACATCAATTAGTCTCAGCTATACTGTACATCTACTAGATTCTCACCATTATTTCATGTAAACAAATCTTGTAAAGACATTATACATTAATTATAAAAATAGCCAACATATTAAATCTGTTATATATTTTTTTTAATTGTGAGACAAATTTCTTCTCATACTTTTATATGATGTTTATATGATGTTTAATATGATGCGTAGGAATCCAGTGTACGGTTGAACGTAGACAATTATGAAATCAGTGCACTTTCAATGTATTTTCTTCTTAGTAAATGTTTTCTTATCCCCTCCAAAGAAATCAAGATATTTATAAGGAACACTCGAAACGAAATAGCATTTTTATTTTTCCCTTTCTTAGGATAAATATCGAAGAATTCCACTGAAAAAAAATAAAATAAATAAAATCGACTCGGAATTGAACGACGAAGAATGTACATAAATTCTGAATTTACATTCAGAAAATAATAATAATAATAATAATAATAATTATTATTATTATTATTATTATTATTATTATTATTATTAATAATATTATTATTATTGAACCCTTTTTCTTTAAATTTACTAACGGAAATGAAATCTGCTCAACAGTGTAATTATTACAATTTTGCTTGTCCAGTTCAATGTACATCTATTTTTTCCCATCTTATTTCTAATTTCATATGCTTCTCTTCATGACAGCATTGACCGAGCGACTATGTATTTCTATGCCTCATTTTGGAAGCGAATTCTCTCAACTGTTCCCTGCTTGATTCCCGTTTCATAACGGATATACTTTAATATAGCACAAGCTGCAGACGCCTCTTGATTCATTTCCTATTTGTGCCGCCATCTTGTAAACCACTCTGTATCGCCGACTCAATATATTTCTTGTTTTCATAAGTCAATACTTTAATAACACAACACACTTTAGATGCTGCAGGATTTTTTTTGTATTTTTAAATTGCTTCTTTTTTCACATCTAATCTGTTATTAATTTGAGTGCAATATTTATCCGTATTTATTTCGTTATCATTACTGTATTCACTATCTTTTCATATTTATATATCTATATATATATATATATATATATATATATATATATATATATATATATATATATATATATATATATATGTGTGTGTGTGTGTGTGTGTGTGTGTCTGTGTGTGAGTTTCATTATTCACATCTATTTACAATCTGTCTCACCCTATTCATATCTATCTACTTACATCAATATCGGTTTATTCATCTATCTATCTATCTATTTCAGTCTGTTCACATCTATCTACTATCTTACCACAGTCTGTTCGTTATCTATCTATCTATCTATCTATCTATCTATTTCAGTCTGTTCACATCTATCTACTATCTTACCACAGTCTATTCGTTATCTATCTATCTATCTATCTATCTATCTATCTATCTATCTATCTATCTATCCCAATCTGCTCTTTTCACATTTCTACTATCTTACCCAGGGTTATCTATCTATCTATCTATATTTTTCTATTTCCCCTATCTACTATTTTCTCTTCATTTATCTATCAGTCTAAATTATCATCTATCTATCTATATTTGTCTGGTAAATTATCTTTGAAAAGTCTGTTGAAATTTCTTTTCGAAAATCGCTATGACTATCTATCTATTTCAGTTGAAATAAATTCTATCTGGTTCTACATTTATCCATATTCACCTATCTTTTTCTTCTGTCTTTATCTACTATCTTACCACAGTCTTTTCGTTAAGCAGGCGAACAATAATCGTACAAACTTCTTTTCTCTTGTTGATTTAAATAATTCTTGACTATTTACAATATAAAAATTCATTTCTAACAACACTGGAAAGATGGTCAATTTTTTGTACTACTCAAGTAAGTATCCGTTTCCTCCTGCTATGCCTTCTCTTTACAAGAAATTGAACAGACCAAAAGATAATTTTGCTGCCACATCTGAGCTGGGGCTGCAGTTGAAAACTGAAATTCTTTTCGAAATCGCTTGACTTTTCTTTTCGAAAATGCTTCTCCAACGCGGTCGATTTTAAAACCCTTCACGTGGCATTCTGGCGGATCTGTTATTTTAACAACACACCCTACTACTCAAGTTTCGTTTCCCCTGCTAACAAGAAATTGAACAACGTTCAAAACCTCTAGCTACTCTATCGCTATGTTCATGTCAGATAACCCGTCGAACTACATTCCTTGGTACAGCCAGTTCCAACATTTACAGATCGGAACCGTCATGACGCGTTCACTGTGTCGACTCATGCCATTTCTTTTCATATTCAGTTGATAAAGAGGAAACACTACATCTTCTCCAGAACAGTTGCAATATAGAGCGGTCTCCTGAGAAGATATTCCTCGATGCCTAGGATCTTAAACTATTCAAGTCGTTATCTGTCCCATATTTCTTCCCTGTACCCACTTCATCATCATCATCATCATCATCATCATCATCATCATCTTCCGACAGTCATATGGTTGATCGAAACTCCATTGACAATCTCTTTCCTCACTGCTGGGCCCTGTATTGCTGTCCACAGATCCTCAATGTCCAACATTATGTGCCGAGCTATGTTTTGTGTGAAAATCAATTTTTGTGAGAAGATACATCCAGAAGGATATCATAAGAGTAAGGATGAGACGGTTTCGCTGTCCGCTTGGTGGCATTGGCGGGAAAACTGTAATCGTTCTTGTTTGAGCATAAGAGACCCCCCCTCTACAACAAACTAATTTAGTAACTCTCTGTTGATTTTGAGCATTAAATTGGGTGATCAATCGTATAAATATATTCTTGTCGGCCCATTCATTTGCAAAAATTCGTTAATTAGTTTACTTGTTGTGCCCTCTTTCTTCTATTGCCTCCAGTATACCCTGTGAGTGATGAAATCGCCAATCCATCTGTTTTCATTGTGCATCAAAGAAATTTCCGTTATCTCTTTTTGATTGTTCGCAGCATTTCCGTAGTACTTATTAATATCCTTAAAATTTATTCTTTAAGCACATGATATGTTCAGGTTTTGTGCATTATTAGGTGGAACCATATGTGTTTAATGCCTTTGTCAGGTGATTTTCCAATATTTACTGCTAAATAGTAAGTTAGATATTACATAGTACTGTTGTCTTTTGTTTGTAACGGTGTTTACTTCTGTCCTAATACATTGGGAATTTTGGAGAAGCCATCTTTCGTTATTCCTTAGAAACTTTTTTTTTAATCGTTTCACACCAAGCAAGGCGGGAAGCCACTAGGACGCAAGGGGTTACAGAAAATTTGGAGCAAGATCAGATAGGAGTGATAGAGGAAAGGATGAGGAGAAGGTAGTGGATAGATCAAGGCAACTGGAGATGTCGATTGACATTACATTTGAATAGTTAGAGATTATATCTCTCAGGTAAACTGGAATAGGGAAGGGAGTTCCACAGGCGAGAGGTGCGACACATGAAGATATTGGAGACGGCTACATACAGTGAAAGGGTGAGAGCGGGATGCCAGCCTCGTAGGGCGCTTGAACTCATGAAGTCTGCCATGAAAGTATTTGTAAAAATGACAGAGAAAGGTGACGACGCGTCTGTGAGAAAGTGCCTGTAGACGAGATGCCAGAACAGGGCCAATTATATTGCATGTCCGCCTCTGGAGCTTATCAAGAACCCCGAGGCAAACAGAAGGGGATCCAGACCATACATGGCAGCAATACACCATGCAAGGGCGAATTGTTGATTTGTAGATGTGGAGGATCGAATCCGGGGAGAAAAATCTCCTGGCGCGGCACAGGGAGCCAACTTTTCTTGCGGCGGACGAAGCAATTGACTCAATGTATTTGTTCCATCTCAGGTCAGCAGTCAACGTGAGACTGAACTTCTTCCTGTGTCAAATTGTTCCTTCATGTTTTGCGTAATGGAAATGTTAATATTAGCCGTTTCCGAATAAGGAAACATTCGGTATTCATTGCCGTGTAGCCAGTGTCACTGTCGTTTGAAATTTATAAAATCTTTCTCTTAAAAAAGATTTTTCAGGAAAATAGGGTTCTAAAGTTCAATAAATTTTATAGTACTTTCCGGTATTGATTTGAGTTTTCTTCATTGCCTTTTGTTGGAAATAGTGTGGAATATCAATATCTTTCTTATGTCATTATCTTCTCTTCGAGTTACATGTGATATCCATTTTAGCTGTTGCTATTGCTCAAAGTCTTCAAGTGATGCCATTTTTGTTAATTGGTACATTTCTTTGAAGATTCTGTAACGTCAGTTCATTTGGTTTGCATAAGGAGAGACCTCGCTGAAGCCTACAGTCTCCATTCACTTAAAGCCACTTTTACTCATTGACCTGAGAAAATGAGTGTATACAGATGACAGTTTAGATTATTCTGAACGATATATATATATATATATATATATATATATATATATATATATATATATATATATATATATATATATATATATATATATGAAAAACTGAGACTCAGCCTGGTATAGGTAACAAGTTTGTCTCTAGATTAATTACAACTGAATAGTGTGTTCGATCCTCACAGATTGTCCCATATACTTCCGGCCTTGTGCCGCATCTAAGCTACACTTAGAAAATCACTATAGAAAAGTCTCAAGCCGGCGAGTCAATTTAAGAACATCGTTTCTTGAAACTTTCACCAAATACGTAACTCAAACATTGAGAAGCCATTTTTTTTTCTGACGATCATGCATTCTGGCCATTTTATATTTTACAGATAATCTTTTCCTCTTGCTTTCCTTTTCTAACATTTTCATTACAATCTTTTTTTTTTGTCTTCCTTTTCACCCTTTCTTTCATTTCTTTATTTCGTACATTTTTCTCGTTTTTAATTCCTCTATTTGTAGATATAATTCATTTTTCATTTCTTCATCATTGTTTTCTCCTCCTTTTAGATTAATAAATCCCGCAATGTTTACGTAAAGTGCCAGATTTTATTAAAATTATTCAAACCGGAAATGGCACGTTCGTTAGCCAAAATCTATATCCGGTAGTTATTTTATAAGCGTCATGTTTATTGACATAACTTTATTATGGAATTCTTAATATACACAGTATGTTTTCAATTTTTACCCATTTTTATTCTAGCGTCCATAATACGTTCTAAAACAAACCCCATTACCTTTGCGTTTCATTTTCAGCATCTTCATTTGCTCACGTCAGGCTTTTAGTTTACACATCAGTTTAATGTGATTTTTTTTTTATTTAAATAAATATAAATATAAACCAAATAAAAATAGAGTAAAATGCGGAAACGATGCTTAAAAATGACGAATGCGAAAAGTTCTTATTTCCATAATATATACAGGATCTGGCAAAAGTAAGGCCATTTTTATTTATAAACTTTTACTGAAGAAATATAAACTACAGTAGTTGAATAAGCTTTATAAGTATTGTAACCTCCAAACAACATGATTTGGTGGGATTAAGAAACTATTCAACATATTCCAAATATTCGCCTTTATGTTCAATACAACACTGAACACTACAAGTATACCACTTGACTGATTTCTATATTGATTTCCCCCAAAAAATATCAGAAATTGCTTGTTTAAATTCACGGATTGTTTTCACTTTGATCCTGTAAATAAGATCTTGCAGTACACCCCACAACAAAAGAAAAATCTGGTGGTGTTAGTACCACTGACTGTGATGGTCACTCAATTGCTCAACTTTCT